CGTAACAGAGTTTAACGCCGGTCAACGCGTCAACAATTTCGCCAAAAGAAGGCTCAAGATAATTTCCAGATCAAAATTATCCCCGGGAGTTCAATCGTAATTCAGATACAAACTCCCGACGAAGATAATCAGTTCAACATCAACTCGACGACACGAGCTAATTCAAATATCAACACACCAGTTTTAGTTCAAGATTTCGACAACAGTCAGACGATAAACGCAGCACCGGAAGAATTTCAGACTATTCAACAAAAAATACTGAATAAGATGTAAGCTGAAGAAGTCAAAAAAATTGAAGGCTGAGCCTATCTTATCCAAAGTATTTTAAACTCCTCTATAAAAGAATGAGGCTGTAACACTTTAGAGGGGGTATCGTAAGCGTTAAAAATTGCCTATAAGTTACCGAACACAGATCGAGACGAAGAGAAGACGATTAACGTCGATATCCAAGTTAAAGAGGATCATCTGACGCCAAAATGAAGCGATGAAGCGATGAAGCGACGAAACAACAACGAGATTTAGAATGCATGATTCGAGAAGAAAATAGATGCATGAATATGAAGAACTAAAATTTCGATCATGATGCAATTCGAATCCAAAACAGCTCAAAAGACAAAAATTGTAGGTCTCTTCGTCAGCTTTCTAACACAACTTGAATCACCTAATTCCGAGGTCGGATGAAAGAATTAAAGACAAAATATCGAAGACAATACATGTGCGAGACACCCCGACAGTGTTATGTGTCTCGGATTCCGACACAGTGTTTTGTGTCTCGGAATCCGAGACACAATAAGGTGTCTCGCTTATGTGTCTCGGATTCCGACACAGTGTTTTGTGTCTCGGAATCCGAGACACAATAAGGTGTCTCGCACATGTGTGAGACACCCCGACCTGTCTCGCACAGAATGAAGCCCCGAGACGCGTTTTTGATTGGTTTTGACGGGTCCAGTAGCCTCTTAACTGCTTTGGGAATATCCTAAATGCGGGAAAATCATTTCTATCTGAGGATAATACCAAATCACGAGATCTTATCCACAAACATGGTGTTCAAGTCCTATAAATACCCCCCTTCATGCATTTGCGAAGGGGACTAACGAATACTGAGGAGATCTGAGCTTTTAGGCGAGTTGTTGATGTTTTGAGAGCAGAGCCACGAATTTTAGAGAGGGAGGCGAGATCTTGGCGAATTCCTGCGCATAAGAGAGGATTTCGATAGATCTGCAAGCTTTTCACCCATTCCCTTGAGATCAGACATTGTTTTGATATTAAGAAGAGTAGTAATCTCACTTTGTTGAGGTTATTCACTTCTGTTCTAAGTTTTCTCGATTAAAACAAAGAACACCGAGCCTTCTTTCAGATCAACCCGGATCTGTTATTCGACGGTCCACGGATCAAAGCGTCCCTGGCATAGGCAAAGATCCCACGCAAGTAGCGACCGATAAACGATCTCTATGTGTGTTTCTAGGAGTCTCTGTTTGTTTTATTTGTGTAGAGAAGTATTATAAAAATGCTCACTCTTTTGAATATGTAATTCAATAAACAACTTGTAATGGGTTCCACTAATAAACTGATTTCCGACGCGAACAGTTAGGATTATACACTTGTGTTGGTATATAAGCGAGCAGACACGTGTGAGCGGGCTCGCAGTGCCGACACGTGCTCTTTTTGTACGTGTTGTCTTTAAATGAGCTTAAACGTTTTGCATGTTCTCACTTAAAACCAGTTGAACATTTTGTACGTTACAATCGTTACAATGATTGAATATGTTTTATTGCAGACGTTACAAACGTTGCAATAGTTGTCATTACAAACGTTGCAATAGCTGTAATTCAAATATTTGTCTCTCATTAACCTTATAAAAAAGTTTCTTCTGATCATTTGAAACACACAGAAAAATAAAATCTCATGTCTTCTTCTTCTTTTAATAATTTTATAAGCTGTTAATTACTGGAGGGTCTGACAAACTAAAGAACTAGTCATGGTGTTCACAAGAAGAGAGCGCTTCTTTGGGCTGCGGCCGTCTCATCCTCGGATGTACTGTGCAGACCCAACGCTACTATAGGTGAGGGCATAGTTTTTTCAAGGTCAGTCCTCTGTTAAGGCACTTCTGTAAAGTATTTCAAACTTGAAATGTTTTAAATATGCTGTTTCTAACTTTATGCTCTTTTTTTCTTTCTTGTATGATTTGTTCTGTACTAAACTGCATCTAAAGTGTTAGGATATGGACGAGTGGACCTAAAGTTTCCTTCAGGGCGAGTTTTATCATTACACAAGGTGCATCATGTTCCTGCTGTTCGACACAATATTATCAGCTGTTCATATTTAGTTAGGGAGGGTTATGAGTTTTCTTTTAAATGTAATAAAGTAGTTATGTCACATGCCGGATCTTTTATTTTTAAAAGCTATGATTCTGATGGAATGTATAAAATTAGAGCAGAACATGATCTTAGTTCTGAAATAAATAAAATTTTTGTTTCTGATTATCCTGTTAGTAATAATATAGAATCATCTGATATTTGGCACAAACATCTTGGTCATATTAACTTTAATTCTGTAAAAAAAAAAATGATGAATCTTAATATGATTCCAAAACACTCTTTAGATCATAGTAAGAAATGTCCAGTATGTGTAACAACTAAACAAACAAGGAAACATTTTCATTCTGTTAATAGAAACTCTGAGTTGCTTGATTTAGTTCATACTGATATTTGTGAATTTAATGATGTTTTAACCAAAGACATAAATAAATGTTTTATCACCTTTATAGATGACTATAACAAATATTATTATGTTTACTTGCTTAAAACGAAAGATGAGGCTCAAGAAAAATTTATCATTTTTAAGAATGAAGCTGAACCCCAAACTGACAAGAAACTTAAAAGGTTAAGATTTGATAGAGGTGGAGAATATACATCAAATGAGTTTTACTCTTCTATGTTAATCTTTTGGCATAATGCATGAGGAAACTGCTTCTTATTCTCCTCAGTCTAACGGTGTAGCTGAACGTAAAAATAGAACTTTAAAATATATGATTAATAGTCTACTTGAAAGTTCAAGACTTCCTAAATATATGTGGGGAAAGGCTTTGAATATAGTTTGCCATATTCTGAATAGAGTCCCTCAGAAACATAAATAAATTAGTTCATTTGAACTTTAGAGAGGTCGGAAGACAAGCTTGAAATAGCTTACAGTGGGGTGTCTAGCAAAAGTGCTAATTCCAGAATACAAGAGGAAGAAGCTATAGGTCCTAAGACAATATACTCTATCTTTTTGGGTTGCGTAGAAAACACCTATGTTTTGAGATTCTTAGTGATCAGATCTGAAATTCCAAGCATAGATGTTAATACGATTGTTGAATATCGTGAAGCAATATTTTTTGAGGATGTTTTCCCTATCAAAACTAGAATGTCTCAAAATATTTCTAATAAACAATGACATAAATTGTTCGAGACCGGATATATCTTACTCGGTTTCTAAATTAAGTAGATACACTAGCTGTCCAAATAAGACTCATTGGGAGGCCTTGGATAGGATACTTCGGTATCTGAAGGGAACTGTTTCCCTTGCACTACATTACAGTAGATTCCCTCCCGTTATGGAGGGATACAGTGATGCAAGCTGGATTGCTATAGGTTCAGGTAACAATGGTTGTACATGGTATGTATTTACCTTAGGTAGCGGCGCTGTCACTTGGAGATCTGTCAAACATACCATTTTGTCTCGGTCTATGTTTGAGACAGAACTTTGCGCTTTGGACATTACTGGTTTAGAAGCTGAATGGCTTAAGGGACTTATGTCCAAATTGCCCATGATCAGCAAGCTTATTCCTGCAATCTCTGTGCATTGTGACAATATGACCACAATTGCAAGAATTAAAAGTTCAAAGTATAGCCGCAAAACTCAAGGTCATATCCAAGTACGGATAAAGAATGTGAAGAAGTTTGTTGATGAAGGAGTAATTGCTGTAGACTTTGTCAGGTCCAAGGACAACATAGCAGATACCTTTACAAAAGGACTAGAGTTGTCACTAGTTCTTAAATCCAGGTTGATGATGGGACTGAAACCCTTACCTAACTCATCGACAATAGCAACCCAATCTATCTGAGTGGAGATCCCACAAAGTAGGTTCAATGTGGTAATAACAAACTGTTGAGTGAGTTAAACACCTAATCATAGATTGATACTTTGTATCTGAGTCTATCATCATGCATACTTGGAAGGTGTTGATAACTGCAAGTATAGTAAGAGTGTTTCGACTCTGAATGAGATCAAGTCTTTAAGACGAGATGCAAGCAGTGCATCCCTGGGGATGTCCAACTATATGAACATAATTGTGTGGCCGAGGTTATTCTTCGAAATTGTTCATGAAAAGGATAAGGACACATAGCCATAATACGTCAAACCTAAAAATTACTTCTATAGCTTATATCGTGTTGTTACCAATAACTATCACCACATCAAAGCTTCAAGTTCAAGACTTAGTTTCACTTCGTGCTTGTGGTGATAAAATTGGATAACTATAGCGAAGGTTCAAATCGGAAGATACTATCTCCGAAAGCGTGATATGTATAATCTTAATTACTGTCAGCTATGGAATTGTGGGGGATGAAAAGGACTGATCTCACTGTGAGTCCAATATCCACCCTTAGAAGTTTCACAAAACTACACACTACACATGCCTTTACGCATTTCAACATATGACCTAGTCCTTTTGTACAAATGAAACTTTAAAAGCACGGTAGTAATGGGCTTTCACAAATTATCGCAGTTCAATTAATTTTATAATTTCCAAGTTAAAAGTTAGGATATTTTCTTTCTCCATACTGTTGCTCTTTTATTTTGTCCAGATCAGTGTTAGCTTGAGTCAACTGTCTAACGTA